ACACACAAACACAAACAACCACACACAAACACACACACACACAAGCACACACAAACAAAAACACACAAACACACACACAACCACACACACAAACACACACACACACACACACAAACACACACAAACACACACAAACACACACACACACACAAACACACACACACACAAAAACACAAATACACACACGCAAACACACACAAACACACACACACACACAAACACACAAACACAAACACACACACAAAAAACACACACACACACACACAGGCAGACACCACACACACACATACACATACACAAACGCATGCACACAAACACACACACAAACACATACACAATCACACACAAACACACAAACACACACACACAAACACACCACACAGACACACCACACACACAGAAACACACACACAGACACGCAAACACAAACACACACAAACAAACACAAACTCACACACACACACACAAACACACACACAGACACACACACACACACAAACACACACACAAACACACACAAACACACACACACACACATATGCCCCACATCACACACCACAGACCACAGACCACACGCACACACCGCACACACACACCACACAGACACAGGCATACATTACACAAACCACACACACACACACCCCACACACCCAGACACCACACACACACATCACACACTGACACAGTCACGCAGAGTCATACAAAGTCACACAAAGTCACACAAAGTCACATAGACACACACGGTCATGCATTCTCACAGTCACGCAGTGACATACACACACACACACGCCCAAACTTTCTACACCAGCTTTTTGGTGTGTAGTAGGGCGCGGGCATGGGTGACAGGCACGCGGGACATGGCGGGGCCCAGCGGCTTGACCACCGAGCAGTTCGTGGATTCGGCTGGGGCCTTCTCGACAGACAAATGCTCCAATGCCCCCATATGCCGTATGACGAAAATCAACTTTGCACCAGTTGGGGTGGATGAAGCCCTGCAAACACTGGTGTAAACCGCCAACTGGTGCAGGATTTTGCTTGTCAGGGCCATGGAGCCAGCGAAAAGGTTGTGGTCCATAGCCACCTTGTGCGGCGAAGCGGCTCCTCTGGCTATGCCCCTTGGCCTCAGGTGGCTGAGGACTTGACCCGGCGACTGAGCTCGATGGATGGGTCTCACCCTGAGCTTCGCTCTGATGCGCGCTCGCAGATGTGCCGAGAGTTGTTCAGAGGACGGAACTTACAGAGATGAAGGAGGCGGAGAGTGAGCCGACCTCAGTCCGCACGACTGGTTTAGTTTATAACAGGTGCTTTTGCAAGCGCCTTTTGCACCTCGCTGGGCATTCTCGTTGCTGAGCTTGATTCGAGGTGCCTAAGGTGAAAGTCTCCCGAAAGCTCCTTGGCCGCAAAGCAGTCTCACGCCGCTGAGCCGAGCTGAGCCGAGCCGCCGAGGTTCCGCAGGAACTACAAGGTGGACGAGAAGGCGATGCAGGGCATGTTCGCCCGTGCCTGGCTCAACCGCCGAAGTTCTTTTCGGCGTTTTTGACATGTCTCCGATCGGCTTTGCTGTCCAGAAATTTTAGCCATGAACCTAGGCTTTGACATGGATGGCAACGGCAAGATCGACTTCGAGGCTGTCGTTCTCGGGAATACTTGACATTGTCTCCCGTTCCCTGCCCCCCCCCCCTGGCTGAGGGAGGGTAGTCATTCAAGGCATCGCCGCGTGCTTGTCTCATGAATCCAGGAAGTGTCAGGAAGGCGGTTATGGGCATGACTGCCTCACTGAGTAGTTCGTCCAGCCCATGCTTCTCAGCCTGGATTTTTGGGAGAGGGGTTGGTCATGGGTTCTTTGCTGAGGCCCGCCAATTGATGCAGGAATCATGAGGGTCTTGTTCGGAGTCAATCGACCAGGCAGTTGCCATAAGATTCGGAATCCGGCTTGTCTTGGCCCCGGCATCCGCATGTGGGAGTGCCTTCATAGACCCCAGCAAGGGTGGCGTTTTCGTTTTTGCCCAAGTAGCTGTGGCCTCTTTGGAGTTCATCCAAGCCTTTGTGGCTTGGTGTTCTACACGGCCACTAGGGAAATCCATCTTGGCGGGTCCAGCCGTCCAACCCAGGACAGCCATGGCAAAAGCCCCTCCAAACCCAACCCAACCCAACCCAACTGGGAGAGGATGGCTTACAGAGGAAACAAGGCGCCCCTTTGCGGCTTGGTCTTCTACCCCAAAACCGGTCAAAACCGTTTTGGGATCCCATTTTAGTTGGATTGGGTGAATTCAGCACCCATGTTAGGCTTCCTATTTTAGTGGTTGGATTGAATGGGCCCCGTTCACTGGGGGCTAGCCGATTTGGATTTGATTTTCGCCCATGGCCGCCAAAACACTCCCCCCCCCCGGCCCAAAGCCTTCCACTGGGCGAGGAGTTCGTGGAGCTGGCGCTGGAGCTGGGCATCGCGCCCCTGGAGCCGGAGGCCATCAAGGCGGAGATGGAGCACCAGGAGCACAAGGCGCGCCCGCGGGGGCCCGCGGATGGGATGGGGTGGATGGGATGGGATGGGGATGGAGGGGGGGGGGTCATACTGGCAGCTTGGGAGTGTATCAGGATCTTTGAGCCCTATTTGCGCTACAGGGGGGTGGAGGGAGGGGGTGCCATGCAGAAGTCCATCATAGGGGTAGGGGGAAAAAATAGTTAATAGGGGGGGCCTGGGGTAGGGAATTTTCAAGGTAGGGTTTCAGGGTTCAGGGTTCATTTTCAACAAGCAAACAACTTTGTTCAAAACACCAAGGGGGATTCTGGGGATTTTTTCTAAAATTTCTCAACATTTTTTTTTTTTACATTTTTTTCATTTAATAACAGTCTAACAATTTAACATTTTCAAGGTTCAGGTTTCAGACCATTTTATGGCTTTCTGGGGGATATAAGGCTTTAATCGCATTATAATTAAATAATATGAATAAACCACGAAATTAATGTTTATGTTTCCCTATGAATTTCAAATGTAATATGTTCTATAGTAATGATTTCGTGTCGTTCGCGTCGTTTCATAGTCTGTTTTATTTTTTCAACTGCTTGTTCAATATGAAATTGTAATGACGCTCTACTTGTTATGTTATTCCGTTTACTTGATGAATAATAGCGACATCTACAAATATTATTATTATACATAATTTTTGCACAAACTTCTATTCCAACCTGTATTTCATCATCATACTTCATCAATCTTAATAGTTCTTTTGGTGGTTTCAACGCATATGAAAGTGCTTTATCACCTTGCAAACATTTATTACGAATCTCAGCATAATATTTACTTTCTCCTACTCGTTCAGTGTAAATAGATGGTTTCCATTTCCTTTGTAAGACCCTTAGTGCATCACACTGTTTCAGTCTTTGCCACCCTTCATCACCAAACATAAAAGAAGTGATGTTTGAAACTAAACCCTCAGGTAAGTCAGTCTAGTCCAGTGTTCAATCATAAAATTATTCTCTGTCATTTTACCCTCGCTCATTTTCTCTTAATATATTAAGGGGTCATTTCTTTAAGTCTTTTTAGTTTTTGCAGGGTTGGTATTTTGGTTTTCAGTTTCATCATTTTCACTTTCAGACTCGTCCCCATCCACACCGGTAGGGACAGGGATGTCAGTAGGCGGTGCTATTTCATAATTAGCATTTTCTTCTGATGATGATGAATGAACAGTATGCGTTGAAGAACTATTAACAGTGATAGGCGGAGAACTATGAACACTGATAGGAGGCGAAGTGTTTAACTCAACTTCCTCACTAACATTTGTACTCAACCAATTCATTATGGCACTTGCTATATCATAAGATGATACTAATGAATTCATTGTCAAATTAACCAGCAACTCTGAACCTTGAATTGTAGTTAATGTAGTGTGATATGTTAAATGTGCCACTATCTGCCCTATACTAAAACCTGACCTCAACATCAAATCTATAATCCTCATCAACATAAATAGTTTCTTTCTGTATTTATCATTATCATCATCTTTTTTATCATCATCATCATCGTCATCATCATTTAAATCAGGGTCATATGTAAATGCTAATGCTTCTGCTTCTGCCTTGTTCATCAGTTTGCTCTTAAACTTCTTTGAAGACCCACCTAAAATCTTTGTCATATCATCAAAATTATAAGTTTGCGTCGCCTTATCATTTGGTAGGTCTGTTTGAGTTGCCTTGTTTTCTTTGTTAAGTGTTTGTGTTGCCTTGTCTGCCATCATAACTTCTGCATTCATATATCGTTCTTTATTTTTATAATTCATTAAATCTAATTCATCAAAATCAAAATTATTCAATAACATTCCTTTCTTGTATTTCTTCAGTATAACTGTTGTTTTCATTTTGCTTGCGATTGCTTGTTTAAGCATTTCATCATAAGTAGGGCGTTTCCTTAACTCGTGTTTGAAATCGTTAATCATTTTATATAATTATTGATAAATTATATAAATGAGTTATTAATCTTTTGTTGCTTTGCCCTTTCCTTTCATACCTCTCCACTCTTCCATTCTTTTTCTTAGCAATTCATCATTTACTTTCGTCGACCATTTCCCCTTTGAAATTAATTCTTCCACTACATCAATTAAATATTGTTTCTTGGATTGGTCTTTGCCCTTTCCTTTCGTCTTTAAATTGTCATATTTTGCTTGTTGTTCTGGTGTCATTTGAAAGCCTCTTAAATGTAGTTGAAAAAAGATGTCATCTGTGCTAATGTCTCTGTGTTTCCATCTGTCCATGTCTGTGTTGTAATCTATTGTTTCTCTTGCTTTTCTTGATTTAGGTGGTGCTTTCGTGCTTTCATCATCATCCTTTGTTTGTCTGCCTATGTTTTCATTTCCCCTTGTCATTAATCCTCTTTGCGCCCCTTGTATCCGCTTCACTGCTTCGTCTTCTGTCATAAGCGGTTCTAACGGTGGTAAGTCTTCTGAATCGCTTGATTTTGCGGTTACCATTGACTGGATACTTGGTCTTCTCCCCTCTTGTCCTTCTAATTGTCTTGCCCGTTGTGCTCGGTCGTGTAGGTCTGCTATTTGTTTGCTACTAACTCTTTTTGAAACTTGACTGATTTGTTGCTCGTGCTGTTCCTCGGCATCGTCCATTGTGGCACTTAGTGTTTGTATTGCTCCGTCTCTTAAATCATCCATTTCATCGTCCTTTGCCATATCAAAATGCGGGACTGTTTTAGGTTGTTCTAATATTTTTTGAAAGTGTTGTTGTCTCAAATCTACGGTATTGTTATCATAAACTGTTCCTAACGGACTGTCACGAAAATAATAAGCATTCCTGTCTATTACATCTCTTATATTCTTATTTTTATATTCTTCCTTTGTAATTTCCTTGATGAGTTCATTATACGACGGTCTTAATCTTAACTGTGATTTTAATGTTTTCATATTGTCTAATCTCATTATATGTAATTAATTAGATTATAAAATTATTAATCTAATTAATTTATTCAAACTTAAAATTCTTTCTTAATTGATTGATTATATCCTTTTTCTTCTTAATCATTTCCGAATAATTTTTACCAGTTTCACTTGATGGATGATGTCTTATTTTTTCACTTTCTATCCTTTGTATCTCATTAAACATTGAATTTGCTTCATCTTGATATCTTCTTCTATTTTGAAATATAGCGTAATCTTCTTTAGCGTTATGAAATTCTAACTGTTCCTTCATTTCTTTCAGATATGTATAATTTGGTTGATGTGCTTTGTTGTCTCCGTCGTAATAGTAATGGACATTAGATTTATATTTTTTTTCTTGGTTTTGTTATGGGATTATAAAATGTGTTTGATGTTGGTAATTGACGCGAGGGACGAGCCTCGCGTGCTACGCGACGCTCGGCAGAGCCTCGCGAGCGTTCGCGACCTGCTTTACCATTCTTTGTAAGTGTTGATGTTATATTTTCAAAATCTGACTTGTTCATATAATAATAATTAGATTATAAATTTATTTATCAAATAATTTTTAATACTAATTTATTAATATGTTCTTGTTTCTTTTCCATCTTCTGCTGTTTCATATTAATATATCTATCTTTTGCGGTTTCAAATACTTTATTTGCTGTGCTTTCTATATGTTGTTTTAACCTTTCTTCTACTTTTTCCTGAACACGCTTTTCTATTTCTTGTTCATCCACTTTTGGAATATCGCTTTTTACTCTGTTATACACATCTTCTTTGAATTCTTCTGCTTGGACTGGATTGATGACCTTTTTTCTAATGGGTTTGTTCAAATCTATAACTTTGTTAGTGCCCTTCTTCACTCCTCGGCAAGCGTGTTTATACTTATAGTTGGAAGCAGTCATTAAAGTTCCACAAGTAGGACAGTTCATGTTCTCCTTCATTTGCTTTTTAACAGTAAATTCTTTTTCAACTACTTCATTATTCTCAACAGGTTTAACTTCATCAACTACTTCATTATTCTCATCAGGTTTAACTTGTTCAACTACTTCATTATTCTCAACAGGTTTAACTTCTTCTACTGATTCATTATTTTCACTAATAACATCTACCACCTCTATTTTACTCATATATTTATATTATATAATTAATTTTTATGATGAATTATTAAGTCTCAACAAATGTTAAACTAAAGCTACTGTCCGCTCCGTGTAAATCTACGGTTTTTCCATAAGCATCAACATATTTGAAATGTAAGCGTCTTAAATGTCTCATTGAAACATCATTAGCGTCATTCATTAAAATCTCATTATCATAGATTACATTTCCAAACCCTGCAGTAATAGGAATTTTCTTCAATACACGAGCAACTCCATAAGGTGCTAATTGGTTTCCATTTGTTAAACTATCACTGGTTAAGTAAATATTTTTCATTGGTAATAAATTAACAAAACCACTAACGAAAGGGTCAGGTGCAAAATTGATTTTTTCAACAGTGTTTCCTAAAACATTGTTAATGGACATTGTGTGACTTCTGTTATAATCAATACTAAAACCGTAGTTAGTTTGCAATTCTTTATCCGTATGAATTACGAAAAAGTAAGAAACACAATTAACAGTTATAGTTATAGTATTTGTTTTTAATGAATAACTACAACTAAAAAAGTCGCTATTTCCATCAGTTCCATTAGTAGCAGTATTCAATTTATTTTGTAATTCGGTTGCTAATTCACTACCTACATAACTACCTTTATCTGGTGCTACAATAAAATAATATACTGGCGCTCCTGTTAATATTCCTCCTAATGTTAAATATAATCTATTATTTACATTTTCTTCAATCGATAAATAGTATTAGGTAGTGATAATGCATGGACATATAGTTTTGTATTTGCTCCTGTTTCTTGTGTTTCTGGTAAATCTATAACAAAGTCAGAAGTGCTCAAACTTTCATTTAGATTTCTATGTCGTGTATCAATATATATTTTACGAAAGTTCATTATATTCATTAATTAGACAACAAATATCAATATTAATATAATGAAATATACATATTATTTAAAAGAAGGAAAATTAAAATCAT